AGTCTGTTTGAACTGCAAGGTTGGCAGTTCGAAACCACCAGCCACTCCTTGGAAACCCAATACAGGGCCACTATGAGTTGGAGCCGACACGACACTTAACAACCACATGATGATGTTCTTTTTCTCTAGAAAAACAAATGTTTTTATTTTAAAATATGTTGAATTCACAGCTTAGATGTATAGTTTTCTCAAATAGTTTAATTTTTGAGACTTTATTGTGGATACAAATAAGAAGAACATGTAAATTTCTGTACAATCAATTCTAAGTACTTCAGGGATTGTTGGAAGACTGACAGCAGGAAGTGGAGGAAAGATCATTGCAGGATACCGTATAAACACTGAGTAGAAATATGAACAGTGTTTGCTCTATAAATAATGTTGAGCTGTGGAGGAATGCTCATCCTTTCAGTGTGGCATCATGCCAAAGGCAGCAAACACAGAACATTCTTCCTTATGAGAAACTGTTTCTTGGTGGTAAATTTTAATTGTTCTACATGTGTTCAAATGTGAGCCTAAAGGCGTAACCCCAGACCATTCTTAAGTACCCAGATAAAGAATTAATTTTGTAAATAACAAATGTGCTCAATTTGGCTTTCCGAAGCTATAGCTCTCAGACTGACTGTGCCCTTCCTAATTTGGAAATATTTTCTTTCTGCTTTTTATTTTGACATGTACCCTGCTATCTACTTTCCTGGCTATTTCTAGCATCCCTTGTGAGCTGCTTCTATGGTTGTCATAGTGCAGAGAAACACACAAGAAAATCAAGAACTCGGTGCTTTCATAAAGCATTTATTTTTATTTGAAAACATTATACAGGCATTACATTGCCACAGCCAGTCCATAGGGAAGCATGCAAATATCAAAAAATGGAGAATTTGTTCAACTTCTTGGTGTAAATTTCTTTCTTTTTGGTTCATATTTTCCATTTGTGGTGTCAGAATTAGTGTGCTTTGTTATGTGGCTTAACAATAGAATCCTACCCATGGGGTAAAATCTGTACTGGTAGCTAACTGGGGACTACTAAATGGTTATAAATCAAAAACAAACCCCAAACAAACATTACTACACATTTCTCAAAAGGTTAATAGCACAAGTTAGCAATTTCTAAACTAAACATTGAAATATTTTCATGGGACACAGTGGTGCAAATTATTCCATTGCTTGGTCTACCTGGTTGTATATTTCAGAGTTTGAAGCTGTTTGAGGTGACCAAAGCAAGTTCTGCCCCCAAAGTTTTCATTGAGGAAGTGAGAGCCTACACTTATCTCTAGTGAGCTTTAGGAGAACTGTGGTTTGCTTACCCAGTAAAATTCTACATAAATCGCTCAAGTCTCATTTGTTGAGGAGACAGTGGCGGTGGATTTAAAAGTTCAGTATCTTGCTGGTGTTGACCAAGTTATGAAGTTTTAGAAACAAAAAGAGCTACAGTTAATGTTGTCCCACTCCTACTTCCCACTTTACAGAAAAAGAATTTGTTCTTCGCTGTTTTCTCTTTTTCCAAAGTGTCAATCTAGAACTCCTGATCTTAGACAATTCAGTATGTCATCAACCTTCCTAAATGGAGACAAACCCACACAGTGAGGTACCCCAAAGGCATGAAAGTCTTGTGTACAGGGACATTGCGTGATAAAAGGTATAACAATGAACTCATCTTAACATTCAAGCTTGGTTTCCATACAATGGAGTCAATTAAAATATCCTAAAAAATAACCCAGATGGCAACTTGTAGCCAACTGTTGATTGCAAACCTTTTATGAAGTTTAAATTTTAAAAAATCCCAGTCCACTGAGTTTGGAAATACGTTCGTCCGTCTAGTTGTTTCTCATGGGACTTTACGAAATGTCTACAAATTAGTGTCATAAAAATGGATAAAAAAGATGAAAACATTTGGCTTAAAATAAATACTAAAAATGCAATAAATCAAGCAAATTATGAAAACCAAAGGAATGTAAACACAAAAATAAAACCAGTCTTTAAAGGTCTTTCAGACTGGAATAGGCAAAATATTCAGAGAAAGGTATTTAATTGGTTTAAAAGGTAGCAGAGAGCAGATGTTGGTAAACTCGTTTTAACTAGTTATAGCTTCAGCCTTGATTTTTTTTCCCCCTCTTCTTCTTCATAGAAAATGAAACATGTTTCTAAGGGAGCTGACCTGAGATGACCATGAAATTGGCATATTAGAGAAGAGATTTTTTTGTTTTGGGTCTCCAAGGAAAAAACCACCTGCCCTGTGTAGAAAGTTGGTGGACAGGCCACACAGACATGAAATGACTGCATAGGGTGCTCTTGCCTGCAGTGCTTCGACCTCGCTCACGTTCTATGAAGGAGCACAGATGGTGCAGTGGCTAAGCCTCAACCGGTAACCAAAAGGTCAGCAGTTCAAACCTACCAGTTGGCGCTCCACTGGAGAAATGACCTGGTGATCAGCTCCTATAAAGATTCTTTCCTACAGTGTCTCTATGAGTAAGAATCCACTCACTGCACACAACTGGCTCTGTGAGAATCCTGACTATGCTGCAATCTGTTCTTCTGCTTTACCACCATCCCACTGTTGTTTTGCTTTACTTACTTGTTTAAGGTACATTGATTTGAATTTTCTAAATTTCCATAAACATTTACAATCCCCCTAACTCCATTAAGGATCTTTTTGAATGGTATTGAAATTGACCAGCCTTAAACTGTGTTTTACCTACTGACAGGTGGTTGGTGGTGGTTGTGTACCGTGGAATCGGTCTGACTCATAGCGACCCTGTATAATGTTTCTGAGGCTGTACATCTTCATGGGAGCAGAAAGTCTTATCTTTCGCCCATGGATTAACTGGTAGATTCGAACTACTGACCTTGCAGTTAGCAGCCCAGCTTGTAATCCACTATGCTACCAGGGCTTCTTTACTGACAGGTAGAATTGTTATAAATTAGAGGTCTGTGATGTCCTGGTGATGCACTGGTTAAGTACTAAACTGTTAACCAAAAGGGTGGCATGTTGAACCCACCAGCTGTCTAGAGAAGGAAAAGGAGGTTGCATCCTTCAGTAAAGATTACAGCCTTGGGAACCCTACGGGGCATTCTACTCTTTCCTCTACGGTCCCTATGTGGTGGAATCAATGAGATGGTAGTGGGTTTGGTTTGGTTTTGGTGGTATTTCTAGATCTCTGGGTGATGCAAATAGGTTTCCTCTTGGCTACTCACTGAAAAGTTGGTTATTAGAACTTACCCAGCAGAAGAAAGTCCTAGCAATCTACTTCTGTAAAGTTCCAAGAAAACCTATGGCGTTAGTTCTATTCTAATGCATAGAGTAGCTGTAACTTGAATTGACTCAACAGCAATGGGTTTGGTTGGTTTGTGGTGTTTCTTGATTTTCTGTGTTTCAGAAATGGACAATTTTAAGAGCTCTGGTAGCGTAGTTGTTAAGAATTGGGCTGCTAACCTCAAGGTCAGCAGTCCAAAACTACTGGATTTTTCATGGAAGAATGATGAGGCTTTCTGCTCCCATAAAGATTTACAGCCTTGGAAATCCTGTACAAGGTTGCTATGAGTTGGAACTGGCACATAATCATAACCAAAATTAAATTTTGGCATATGACTCAAAACCTTATCAAGACCCTGTAATATTCTCTACATCCATAAGAATGCTGCATCTTAATATATTCTGCTGCTGAATGGATGGCAAATATGACCAAAATGCCAGACTTAAAAGAGTGACATATTTACCACTACAAAATGTTCTAAAATCAGGTGTTTTCAGAGACTGCTTCATATCAGCACCTTGACTTTTGTTAATAGGTGGCACAACCAAAGATACTCACAATAAAGATGATTTTCATGTCAGAGTCTTCCAAAAAGGTAACTCACAATTAAGAAAGGAAAAGATTATGTCATTTTCAAATTCCTTGACTAATTGCCATATTATCACTAAAGAAATTTAGAAAAAGAAAGACAAACAGAATATAGATATATATTTTGAAAAGAGGA